TTAAAAATCAACGTAAATTACTATTAGATTTTCTTTATTTCTGTGACGATTCAATATTTGCAATGAAAAATAATTAATCTTTGAGAGTTTTATAAGATTTCTTTATAAGACAAGTATAAAGTGTATGTAATAAGAATTATGATTACACGCTAAACAGAAATTTGATATCGAAACTTTACTTTCGATTAAAGTATGCCGTAAAAAGATAAAGATTTTTGTTTTAATTTCACCCTCATTCGTATTAAAAATGTAATAGTATTTAAATATTTTGGTTTATGTTCGTATACATATTAAGAGAATAGCTATATCCTATCATCAACTAAAATTTAAAACACTTCCGTTTAGTACAGCAGTTATAAAATGAGGGATAGAGAACTATGGCAATTTGAAGTTAGGATTATCTTATTCCTTTTATGTTGTTCACTTATGTCTTTGCTACACAATAGCTCCGTTCTCAAGTTTATTGGATCCATAAAGAATATAATTCTTATAATTAATTATAAGAATTATATTAATAATATTTATTGTATAATTTTATAATAATAATAATAATAATATATATTTATATATATAATAATAAATAATAATATAATTAATAATATTACTTATAATATAATTCTAATAAAAATATCTATTCCGAATTTCTCGTAAAAAATTGCAAAAAAAAAATATGAGAATGCTCTGATTTAAAAATAAACGTGAATATCGTTGAATGAGGAATTGTGCCAATATTTAAAATAATATACCTCCTTAATATTTGCATTGATTATATAGATTAAGATTAAATAACACCTCTGAGAGTTTTGATAATAAAAACAAACAATACTATTTTATACAAAATAATATCGTGAGAATAATAGATCTTATAAAATAATAATTTTTATTTAAACTTATTACGCTTAATAGTTGTATAATGACTAATGATTGGTATTAAAATTCAATATATGAAATTATATATAAAATTCAGTATAATTTTCAATTAATAAGTTAAGTTTAGTTTATTTTGGAATATTATGAGAACGAAGGTTGATTAAAAGGATTATTTTTTTATCTGTACAGCTATTTGAAAGGTAAAAATAATAATACGAGGTGATTTATCAAATAAAATTATTGGAATTACTTTATAAATATAGAAATAATGTAAATATCTTATTCATATGTTTGTTAAATTTTAAGTATCATTTATGAAGTAAAAATACTTGTTATCAAATATTATTATAATTTAGGTAACAAGACCTTAAGACTTTACGAGGTGTAATAATATAAAGTTTTCACACATTTTCGCAAAATGAATATATTATCAGTATTTCCAAAGTCTTAGGTTATAATCAAAGTGTCTTATAAAACCTTTCCATAAATATCCAATAAATATTCTTTAATAAAAGGAACGATATATTTTTCAAATAGCGCATCAAGCTTATATTATGAAAATTTTATCAATATCCATATCAATAGTATTTTTAAATAGTTGTTGCTACTTTATTTATAAGAGCCATTAGAGGATACAACATGTACAATACGAAAGTTTCATTAATTTTAAGGATATAGAAGCCATGCTGTGCAGATACTTTACTAATTTAACTATTTCGAAAGTAGGAATTTTCAGGGCATTAGTCCAATTTAATGAAAGAAAAAAAAAAATTCATTCAAACGAATGAATTAACAGGAAAATCGAATAATTATTAATTAATTTTAATTAATATGAAATTATTAATTATCAATAAACGTAATAATATTCGTTATAAATATTCCATTAGGAATTATTAACATTTTTACAGAATACGGTGTTTATATGAGAATACTTGCAGGATGTGTATTTTGTCTTTCAAACTTCTTATCTCTACGCAAATCTTATTTGCAATGATGAACAAATTACACAATTAGTAGAATATATTTTATTAAAAAATAGTAGACTGTAGATATAATTTATATTGTTCTCAGGGTATGTAATATAAGTAATAATTTTATGATTTTACACACATTTTAATATTGTAGCGTTTTGAATTATAATTCGATTAAACATTATTCATGAAACGTGTTTTTCATGTCATAGTCATTTGTCTACCATGATATTTGACAGATTGGTATAATTATCCTAGGCTATTTTCAAGTTAACGAAATTAATAGATCATAATAAATAATCCATTGTTCATAGATTTAGACAATTTATTTTAAAATATTGTGAGATTGGATTTGTCGACTAGAGGAGCGGAATATACGTGACTCAACAGGAATTAGTATCTATAGAATAAGAGACCCACTGGGTGGTTATATACCTCCGTGCGCTGCATTGTGGATGTATTATTGTTGTCCGAGAAACGACAAAGGTGGTAGTTAAAAAGGACGAGTCCTTCGTATTCTATTCTGCCGTAGTACACAAGAGAGTCAGTATATAACACCATTACTAATGAGTCCGATCCAAGCTGACCTGATACGAAACGTGCACACCTTGTATAATATGCTAATATTAAATATTTCTCATACTGCACTGATCAATTGGAGCATATTACCGTGATTAAGAATTTTGTCTTTAAATTAAGAACAACTGGATGTGATGTATAAAATTTTATGTTATAGAGATGAAAATGTAACGAGATAAATAAATTGAATAAACTACATATTGATTATTGTAGTTTATTCAAAGATAGTATTACTATATAAAACAGGAGATGGTAAAATAAAAAAATCATCCTTTCATGTAAACTTTCTTTATTCGTATAAATATCAGTAATTTGAATAATTTTATTCCTAATTAGATCATGGTCCATAATTAATTAAGACCTGATAATTGCCGTAATTGTATAAGATATTTGTTGTATTATAGCTATAAAATATTATATAATAACCGTAAAATAGGTAATATAATTTTTCTTTTAATTTAACAATTGATTTTATTTTAATCTACATTCCTATTAATATATTTGTATAAATATTTGTATATATATATATATATATATATATATTGACTCATCAAACGGGTTAATCAAATGAAAATTAATAATCGCTCTCTAATTATAGAAGGTAAAAATCTGAATGTTTGCTCATGATAAAACTCTAATCAACTTACAATGAAAGACTTATGGAATACGGTAATATATATTTTGATACCAAATAACTGATTTTATTTTTAATACAATAAGACGAATAACGTTTTAGTTTGTATATTTTCAGTATGAAAATACAGTTTTTGTAAAATAATTCTGAAATTCCAATAGATATAAAAAATTGTCACAATTTTTATATATAATATAATATATTCAAAAATTACATTGACTCTATTCAATGTGAATTTAAATGAAATTCAAAGTTTAATCAATGCAAATGAATACTTTCTTTTTATTGATACAATACATGATAGTTTTTTTAAGTTTATTTTAAATATATATAAAGTTATTGATGTTTTTATTCGATAAATGTTTATCACACTTTTTTTAAAAAAATTTTGAATATGTTTTATATAATTAGTATTAATATCCGATGACATATTTAATAAATAAATTTAATAAATCATTACTACTATAGTATGTTACTTAGCTGTAGGTTTCGGAATTCTTAATAATTAAAAATACCTCTTGCTTTTTACAATAACATACTTGATAACTGAAATTGAAAATTGAAATATACAAAGACTGGCTAACATGAAAATAAGAAAGTAAACCAGTTTTTTAATATAAGAAATTACTATTACGACGACAATTTATGTAAAAGAATCTTTTTCTAATAATAAGTTATATCTGTTTTTTCAATAGTCTGAGTTGCTGTTATATTCACAAACGCGAAAATGACAGTGTAATAGAAATGAAATGCATCGGAAACATATAAAGAGCAATATGGGAACATTTTATGAATTGCAAGAAAGGATTCTATGAATATAATATAATATAAGAAGAAAATATATTTGTTTCAATTTTTATGGCATTAGTAGAGTCCTTGGGTGATTTTTTCTTTAATATTAGGAAATATACTATTAATAAATCTAATTTTCCACATGTGCTTTATATTTCAATATTACACGCATAAACACAGGTACATGCAACATTTGCTAAACAAAGTTATACAAAAACTCTCACAATAATCCCCGTGATTATTTATAAATCTTATGACATTAACCAACATAACAATTGCGCATACGAGACTTTAAATTTAAATATTAATAAGCACTCGAGAAATTCTTATAAATTACAAATATCCCAAGCAATTATTAATTGCAAATGTTAGTAAATAAAGATAATTATTTGAAATTATTATATTTTAATTGGTAAATGTGAGGCATTGTGAAAATAATGTTAATAATGTTAATGTTAATGAGTACTTAAAATCTAATACAGCGATAATTGTTAATGTAGAGCTAATTGTTATAATGAAAAGGAAGAAGCGCAAATAAAAATAAAAATATGCGAAGTTATAAGTGAAATATACGAGCGACTAAAAGAAAAGACTACTTCGTTTGAGAGAGAGGTAGATGGGAGATACGGTGGAAAACGAATTTTAAACTACCGAGAGGAAAGAGATGTGGTAAAACAGGTGAAAAAGTAGGAGAAGACACAGAAACAAACAGTAGATTGAAATACAGTGGAGGCGCGAGAGCGAAAGGGAAGTAATGTCAGTGGGTGGGAAGGTGAGAGAGAGAGAGAGAGAGAGAGAGAGAGAGAGAGATGGAGCGAGGGAGCGAGGGAGCGAGGGAGCGAGGGAGAGAGGGCGAGAGAGGGTGGGACGGTGAGCGCGGGAGGGAGAGGGAGGGAGGAAACAGAATGGTTAGAGCCGAGCGCCAATAGAGAGGTAGAAGGGCGACAGCGGCGACGGCGTCGGCGGCAGCGGCCACGTGGTGAGTGTGGTGGGGCTATCTCAGCGATTTTATGTATATTACGACGTCGTGGGCAGGAACACGAACAGTGCACCGCTGACTAACTAGTAGTTCGGAGTCGGAGCGCTTAAACGAGTGAGTGAATGTGCGTGGGCCTGTATCTCCTCGATCGAGGACTTAATTTTTGTTATCGGGAGTCCCCTTTAAACACTCGGCAACCGTTAAGACAGGGCCGTGATAATAGACGGCAAAGGAGCCGAGTGTCACGTTTCGGTGGATCGACGACAGCGGAGCTGATCGGCAAGATGATCGCGTTGCTCTGGTCCTTCCTCCTGCTCTTGTCGATGCTCCTCGCCTCGAGCCAGGCCTTTCTCACCGCGCCCGTACCAGGTACATTATTGCGCTCGTAGCTTCTACGAAGATTAGCTGGGGGCCCGTCCGGGGCTATCGATCAATCGGCACAGACGGCCGCAGCGTTTGCATTCCCATCGAGCCAATTTTTCGCTGGATATCCAGGAGCAAATTGTTCGCGATCGCCTTGTACTGCTCGCTCCAATAAAACTGATTTACGGCACTGGGCAATTTCACACTCCATGATGTTTTTAATTTTGAAATCAATTAAAGTTCTGTCGTAAACGCGCGGCGATACGCGGCGATGCAACACGTAGCGAGCCCAGGAATTCAGGACGACTTCGGACGTCGCACGTGAGCGTGCTGCGTTTTCGGCCGGCAATCGACCTCGACGCCGGCGCTCGTCGCCTCGGTGGCATCGACGAGTCCGTCTCGGTGGCTTTCCCTGCGAAAACTATCGGTTTTTCAGAGAAATGGTGCTGGGAATGAATGTCGATTGGCCCTTTTGTTATTATTTTTACCGGAGAGTTATATCAAAGTACTTGTCAAGACGAGCATTTATTCGAGTGAAAATATTTTCATTTTACGCCATTAATGTAGATTTTTATATTTTTATAGACTTTGAAAAACGCTTTACGGCTGAATGACGCATCGCCGTAATCGCTTTTCTACGTTCATTTCCTTCGGCGGTGAAGCGAAAAGAAGAAACAATTGCTCAATACGAGCAGTAATGAAATTTTGACATTTCGAAATTTATAATTATAATTGCTGTAAACGTACAGATTTACAGGTTCATTAGATATACGTAAAGCATTCATGGGTTAGTCGATTAAATTCGGTATCTGATAAAATGTATAAATTACATGTGACCGTGTAAATCTTATGAATCTACATATAGTCGAAAATAATAATAATTGTTTTAATAATTGAATACAAAATTGAAAGCTTAAATAACGGAACGACAATTAAAAAGGAATTAGGAAACACTAAATTAGAAAATAGCCCCGAAACCACATCATCTCTAGCAGCCATCACGATTATAATTTTCAAGTAATAACGCAAACTAAATCCCTAGAGTCTAGAGGCTCAATAAGTGAACAACGTCATAAATAAACAAGGTATGGGGCCTCGGTCGCCCTGCATTCATATTAACAAAAATTGTTCATCGAGATTAGAAAGAAAAATATTTGTAGAGTGAGAGAGAGAGAGTGTGTGTGTGTATATATATATATGTGTGTGTGTGTGTGTGTGTGTGTGTGTGTGAAATGGAGAGGAGGTTGGAGAGACAGATATGGATAAGGTGGCAGAGAGAGAGAGAGAGAGAGAGAGAGAGAGAGAGAGAGTGAGTGAGTGAGTGAGCGAGACATAGTGATAGTAAGAGGTGGGAGGGAGGATGTAGATAGCAACGGAAATTGGCACGAAGCAAACCGTTCATAAGCTGCAATTCTCTCTGCCTCTGTGTGCCGGTTATACAATGAGAGCATCGATTGGCAATTGACACGATGGATGACTCAGGCAGGCACATCGGCAGGGTTTCGCGACGTGATAACGAAAAAAGAAATAAAATGGAGTGAAGAGGGCTAAAGTAGGAAGATGTTTTCAATCTTGAAATTTAGTTGCGCGGCAGCTAAGTAAACGAGTTGTAATCGATAGTCCAATATATCTGGCCTGGTATCGACGAATCTTCGTCCATTAGCCCGCTGGTTTGAATCGTCATGCATATATATATATATATATATGTTCTTGTAGACCCTCGGGATGGGCGTTAATCCTTAAAATACAAGTGATGCAAGATTAAAATTGTGAGAGAATCGCATTTGTCAAGCGACTCTCTCCCATAACAACTTTCAGGCTTTGCAAGAAGAATATGAGGAATCGACGATTCACTTTGACTGATCGAGCATCAATCGAGCTCAGTTAGAGTGCGATATTTCGTTCGTCTGGGATAATCCATGAAAGTCGAGAAAAGCTTATTAATTGTATCGAAGATTATTGAAATGAACACGACGATTTAATCTTTTAACGATTCCTGCTATATTTAGTTGAAGTGCCGCGTCATTTATATTTCGTACTTTCTAAAATAGATGTTTTTTTTTTTTTGTAATACTTGGATAATGTTGAAAAGTTGAAACGATTAATTAATGAATTTTCTCTATATCAAATTGTTCACTCGATAAATACTCATTTTATTTGTAAGGAAAAATAAATTAACGAAGTATAATCAATAGTTTAAATATAACGAGAAATTCCATTAAACACGAGTTGTTTACCCTATAAATAAAAATATATTCTGAAATTGCTTTACTTCATTTTTTCTTTTATTATAAATAATAATAATAATAATAATAATAAGAAGAAGAAGAAGAAGAAGAAGAAGAAGAAGAAGAATATGTTTAAATATGAAAGCTTTTGATTTTAAAAAAATTAAATGCCAAACAATTAGCTTAAATACAAATGAATATACGTTTCAATTAGTACTTTTACGTGATATCAAGCACTATCTTGTTTACTTGAAAGTTGTAGTCGTTAACGCTCAATAAATTTGAATCGATAATATTATACCTTGACAAATACGTGACTTTTGCAATATTTAAGAATTTAGCTACGCATATGAATCCAAAAACAAAATATCTGCGAGATTATATTTCTGAGGAAGTTGGTTCTGATAGAATTGTCGAATAAGTCAAGAAATAAAACGATGCCTTGTTCTTCAATTAAAACACAAAACTAAAAAAAATTCCAACGTCAATTTTATATCATTGCATTATATTATTAATATACTATCTAACGGGGTTTTATTTTTTAATTTGCAATTGATGGTACTTTGAGACATAAAATACGGAGAAATTATTTTATTGATCGATTCATTGTAGAATCATCAAAGAAAAATAAGTGGCAAGAAGTTAGTTGTGTTTACTTGTACTCGGAAAAGTTTGTTCCAGAAAGTCATTAGTTACGAGAACATATGCTATTCTATTTATTTACCGGCATTATAAATAATCGTACGATTGCGGAAACATTGGGAAAAAGCTAACGAAACAAAAATAAAGAAAAAAATGTACTGAAAAAAGTAGTAGATCCATCACCTCCTTGTAGTTTATTTTTTTTGCTTTTTTTGTTTTGTTTTTGTTTTTGTTTTATGACGATTTCAGAGCAGCAAGTTGTTTGTTTGATGTAGCCGTTGAGCCGTTATTTTGTCAGATAATTTCCTTTTCAATAACGATCGTTTTCTCCATACGGATCATCATCATCCGATCAATTGATACTTACTTGTTGAATTAATGTGTGCGAAAGTAGCTGTGTTTAGAAGATTATTAAATATATGATGTGCTGATTCATATAGAAATAATTATAATTCCTCGTTTCCTTAAAAATACACGCGAAACGATGTATTATATTTTCAAATTACTTCAACGTCAAACTTACTCTACAAATGGAGATTTTGTAATAATGTTACACCGACAAGAAATAACAAGAGGAGACACCGTTATTACATTTACCTATACATTGGTATATGTCATTCGTATAAAAGCTAAAAAATTAGAAATTAATCGGAATTGACGTGAAAATGGTGAAAATACGTGTGTAATGAATGTCAACGATAATTAGATAATTCTTTAGCCATATAGACACACACACACACACACACACACACACACACACACACATATATGTATATATATATATATATATATATATATAATAAATAATGTAAAATTCCTAATGAATAGCGGTTACGATTTCAATAAAATTCTAAAACTCGATCATAAGTTTCGTGCTGCCTGGTCAAATAAAGTAACAAATTCGTCCCTATTTTCGTACAATTTATGGACAACATCGCGGATGTCGTCCTCCTCTTATTCGTTTCATTCTCTAAAGCTCAAAGCTCTGTCGCGTAATTTATTTCACAAAAAATCAATTGCAGTCGCGTCCATTCAAAGAACAGCTCGCGGAACATCAACGAGGAGCATTATTACTTAAACGAGAAGGCAGCCTATGTTAAAAATCACATAGTCTCGCGTCGGAGTTGAGGAAGGCGAGAGACAACGTCGATTAATGGCTGGAGTTTTCCTTGACGTTTTTTTTTTTTCCTGCGAAAGACGTTGGAAAGGCTTTGATCGACGTAGCGCGTCCTATGACCGACGAAAGCTACAATTTAAAAAAGCGTTCCCCTGGGTACGTCCGTCCCGGAAGGACTCCGGGTTTCCGGATTTCCCAACGGACGTCGTGAACGCACAGCGTCGTCGTTACGCGTAAATGGAAGAGTCCGCGGGTGAGGGATATGACCGTAATTCATATCCGCGTGGCAAGATGCGAGGCCTTAATTCATCTTTTGAGGTAAAGGATGGAGGCCTCGAGCACCGTGAAATCCTATGTGGATGAAACTTTGCCTTTATTTTCGATTGTTGTTGCAAGGGGGAGGGTGGGAGATAAGCGAGGTCACTGGATAATACGAGTCGTATGAAATTTTATGGATGCGCGCGCTCGTGTGCGTATGTGTTCACCAGTCAATCTAGCAAATTGGAACAACGTTGCCAATATCTTTATTTCCAGTCATAGAGAAGTGAATATTGTTGAAATTTCTTTTTAATTTTCTAATGAAAAGACTTTTAAATGTGGTAATAAAAATTTTTCCAAGTACGTTGGAGGGCTTGAAAGGTACTTTTATTGTTTTATTTTGTTTTCTTCTCTTCTCATTTTTTTTTCTTCTTATTCCTTTTTTTTTTTGTTTTTTTTTTTGTTTTTTTTTTTTGTTTTGTTTCGTTTTGTTTGTAATAATTCTGTTTACAGAGCACATTCTGGTAACTTTGCTTATGTGAAGCTACGTAAAGTAAAGTCGCTTGCTATAATAATTTTACCCTTCCATTTAATGCGATACTGCGAAAATACTTTTTGCGAAAAATTTCCATCCCTTAATTAATAGCAATTCCGTAAAAAGTCTAAATTATTATTCAATCTTTCTAATCTAATGTTGAAATTTAATTTAAGAAAATTAGAAAGGCAAAATTGTTCACATGCCAATAATATTATTATCTTTC